GCATCATGCAAAGTTAGGTCTAGACTTTTTGGTTTAATATAGCTGCAGGATCAACAACAATATTTTCATTATGTGAGAGGTTATGGCTGTGACTGATAAGAGCCAGCGGGAAGGGTGTCTGGGAACTGTCAGGCCAGCAAGAGGCTTAAATAATGAGGATATTATTTCAAAATGAGTTCCTCTTTAAGATATGTTGGGCTGACATAAACAATAGCTTGTGGTCCCTTTCTAAAACAAACATCCATAATCTTTTTAAAATATATTATTGGCCTTCTTTCCACTTCATTTGCTCTCTCTAAATTTCAAAATTAACACAATTTTAGAAACAGCCATTAAGTACATGTTACATTTGTTTCATTTTGGCTCTTATATTCCATGTTTCAGATGACACAACTTAGTTAATTTCATTTTTTGTGGAAGAAACATGAAATCTAACCAGAGGATCTTTTACTAAATATGTTCATTAGTTCTACTCCTTAATTCCAGTGAATGAATTACCCCGGTACATATTAACATGAAACGGGTTATGTGAGAGGGAACCAGGACAACTACCATGACATACTGTACTGTACTAACAAGACTATCTGCATACAGTACTATACCGTATAAAGTTATCATATACAATTCTGATATCCGAGAGTTAACATTTTGAGCCTATATATTAAGACATAAAACCCACAAATATTTGTAAGTAATCATCACATTAAATCCTTATAACTATGTACTAATTCATTAATAACTCTTAAGAATATTGTAAACTGGTGAAAAAATACACACTAGATGCAGGAGTCAAGATTGGAGAGGTTGACCCTTCTTACAATTAATAAACTGTACATGCTGAATTTTGCTATGAGCATGTGTGTAATAGTACAGGGTTCAGTATTTGTATTATATTTGTTTCAAAAGCTGTAAATACCTATTACAACAAACCCATATGAGTAAAATAATTATAATGCATTCAATAATTTTTGGCACACTGTAACAATCATTAAAATGGGTTACGACTGGACGATTGCTTACCAAAGCATACTACAATGTGTGTAATGTTTATTTTTCTGATTTAAGGAACTAGATAATACTTATCAGTATTTACACGAGTCAAACTACAGTATCTATTTTCCCGTCTATCAGCCACATCCCGTTCCTGACTATATAGGGTGGAGTGTCTGTGCATAAAGTTCCCTAAGAACAAAGAAGAGTACAGTACTGTGTGACATACAAGAAAAAGAAATTAAGTGTAATACAGTGGTCCCTCGGTTAACAAACACAATTTGTTCCAGAAGGTCGCTCGTTAACCGAAACATTGTTTCAATGGGATTTTGGGTAATTGGTTCCAGCTCACCGAAAATTACATACAAACTAAAAATAAATGCAGTAAAGTACACTTACTTTGAGGTGTGCATGTAGAAGGCTCCTGGTTGATGATGATGGGAATTAGAAGTGGGGGTGGAGGAGAAGGGAGAAGAGAAGGCAGTGGGGTGGAAGAGAAATCACCCCATGCTTCATGCTGCCATTTCACCCATAAAATTTTAAGTTCACTTGGTGTAATTCAAGATTATTTTCTTTAAATCAGCACTGCACTGCACTATGTATTGTCAATATGTAAAATATATTTCAGAATGACCAATAATTGTTCTGTAAAAACGTAAAAGTAGTTTATGTTCAAGAGAGTCTCAAGCAAGATGCTTCCTCCACTGAGCAGAGACACAAACTGACACCATTCTGGGTGAGTCAAGTGGCTGTTTGGCTCGCTAACAACTAGTTCCCTGTACTTCAATTATGTTAAATAATTGTTAAAATGACTAAAAATTTTAATATAAAACTTGGAAAATTATTGAATAGTACAACCTTCTTGATATTTACTCAAATGGTAACGAATTTAAGCCCTAAAACCGATTACTGTATTGGTGGACTAATACTTCAGCTGGTGAGCAGGCGAAAACATGTTGACACGATTTCGTAAGGATTTCGTAAACCGAATTTTTGTTTGTTAATCGAGTTGAAGATTCTTTTGGAAGGTAATTCGTTAACTGAGGCGTTCGTTAACCGAGGGATCACTGTAGTCAGTACAGCCATTCATGCAAATGACTGTCAGGTCTGCCAATACCTGTAACACACCTGACAACAATGGTAATACAAGAAATAAAATACAAATGCAGGACTGATCTAAATACCGGTACATGCATTCTCATGCCACTGTCTCTTTTTATTATATATATATATATATATATATATATATATATATATATATATATATATATATATATATATATATATATATATATATATATATATATATATATATATATATATATATATATATATATGCTGATAACCACAAGGAAAGAAGAAAACACGAAGTTCCCAAGCGCTTTCGTGTAATTCACATCTTCAGGGGTGAGTACAGACTAGAGAGAGAAATACAAATCAAGGTGTATATATACAGAGGAGGGTGAGACCAGGTCCACAATGGTCAGGTATTAGGTAATGACCCTACTAATCTTTAAATAGCACACAACGGTTGGTGGTCAGGTGACCCGGCCTTCTCACCTGGTCACAAATCTTCTTAATTACAAATTGTCCAGCTTGTACATGCCGTTACTCAAATTCATGTTCATTAGAAGATTTGTAACCAGACAACCAAACAGTGATTTACTTGCATATATATATATATATATATATATATATATATATATATATATATATATATATATATATATATATATATATATATATATATATACAGTATATATATATATATATATATATATATATATATATATATATATATATATATATATATATATATATATATATATATATATATATATATATATATATATATATATACACAGTGGTCCCTCGGTTAACGAACACAATTTGTTCCAGTCGTTCGTTAACCGAATCTATTATTTCAATGGGATATTGGGTAATTGGTTCCAACTCAGAAAAAGTACATACAAAGTACTGTACAGGTATACAGTAATTGAATTAACAAATCATTAAATATAAACTAAATACAGTACTGTACTGTACAGTATACTGTACAATAATAAATAAAAACATTAGAATACTGTATTTTAACTTACTTTGAGGCGTGTATGTCGTATTACCAGCAGCTTTGTTTACATATCAAACAGTTGTTTGTAGAGGCAGTCGATGATGACATGCCATATTCTTTACAGAGAGCACTGGTTCTAATGCCGTCTTCATGTTTCAGAATAATTTCTGCACTGTATATTATCAATATGTTAACTAAATTTCAGAATGAACAATAATTTTAATGTAAAAATGCAAAAATATTCAAGAGACCAACAAAATCGATGTTCACTCCACTGTAAACAAAGTTAAACTGTGAAGCGTTGTTGGGTGATTCAATCAGTTGATGGGCGCACAAAAACTGTTCCCTGTACTGTCTATATTATCAATATGTTGACTAAATTTCAGAATGACCAATAATTTTAATATAAAAAATGCAGAAATACTCAAGAGACGTTCTTGATATTTACTTCACTGGAAACGAATGTAAACATAGAACCAATTACTGTATTGACAGACTAGCTGATCAGCTGATGCGCACAACAAAACGTGTTTGTCGCAAGGATTTCGTTAATTGAACTGAAAATCCTTATGGGAGCTAATTCGTTAATCGAACCATTCGTTAACCGAGGGACCACTGTATATAAAAGATTAGTTATAACATCCATTGACTTTAACCATGGGTAAGAATAAGTGTAAAATATAAAAATGGAGCCATCACATGACCAGGTTATTATTGAGCAATGAACAAAAACTGTGAGTGCTGACTGTTTTTCTGCCTTAATACAGAGGGATTATGAGAGCTTATTTACTGTTACAAGTTAATGGACATTCAAACTTTTCAATTACAAAGATATAGTACTGTATACTTAACTATATCATTGTATGTTTAGTCACAACCTAAATTAGAAAAAAGTGCACCTAAAGAATGACTTCAGTTCTTTATTAATAATAATGAGGTCCTCCTGAAGTGCAAAAATGAAGTAAACCAACAAGAACTTCATTGAATATTAATGTTTTGAGGATGACATATTTATTTAAAGATTCAAATCAAAGTTATATGATCCATTGCTAATATAAAGATAAAAACAATATTCAACACACCTTAACTGCAGTTCACACACTGAATACTGAAAATATCAAACTTTGATATGAAACTTTACATACATAAGTTACATATTCTCAAGAAATTAATGATGATATTAACTGAGGCTCCTCCTGTTGGTTCAGTTAATTTTCACACTTGAGGAGGACATTTAAGAAAGTGTCTGTAAGAGGGGCATAATGGTTTACTTCAATCACATTCTCTGTAGTTGACCATCAAGTTTGTCTGTCAGGTTACCAAAGTTGGTCATGATCATCATATGAAATACAAAAGAAAACTATCACTTTTTGTACTGATGCTTTTTTTATTTGACTACATTCATAAAGCAATACCATTTAGTGATCTGTAATATATTCTTAAACTATAAACAGTTCTTAAAACACTACTCTTCTTTTCTCTGTCTTTTACCACATCCTTTTGTTTTCTTGAGTTCTATCCTGCATTTGTTTTACCTAATCATAAGTACATAGGTTGCTACAGTGACATCTTTGATCAATTGGCAGTAGATTCACTCATATGTACCAGACAAACCAACATACAGATGTCTTCAAAATACCTTTCAAGTGTTGCTACTGGAGCTTTGATGAACAAGAACACAAATATGTGTGTTAGTAAAGATTCTATGTGTCACTGTATTATGGCAGTGACTAATGATATCTGCAAATCTATAAATCAGTAACCAGTTTGTTATATGAACTACCAGTTACTGGACCATGACTGAGGGGATTATAATAGAAATATTCCAAATTCATTCAATTAGGATTTTCTACCATACAGGTAAGCTCTACAGCTTAATAGCCCAAATCTAACAGAACTGTATTATCGGTAGGCAAGGAAAATTTAGTGATAACTCAAATTAAGATGCGTGCATCGTATTTATTATACTTGTAAAAAACAAACAAAAAACATGGTTGATTACAATATTTTGGATTGACGAACTGTTAATACAATCCTTTACTATTAGTCTAAATTGGTATAAAAAGTTCCATTTTATCAAAATGTCCATTCAATATAATTAAAAAGAAATTCACAAATTGTACTAAATACTGTACCTGGTCAAATTAAGTGAATTCTTTTTAAAGACCAAAACAGCAAATACCCACAATCGAATTTTATTGAAATTAGTATATCAACAACAAATCCCCTGGGAAATGTACAACTGGTAATAGCCGTATATTTTCTAAGCTTAAAAGTCAAGTAGATATGTACGTACCACAAAAACAAATATTATTTGGAAACTTGGCCCCTTATTCTTGAATTTCAATACCAGGCTTCAGGGTGACGTACAGTACATATCATGACGAAAGTTTACCCAAAGCTTGGCCCCTTATTGCTTAACTGAATTTCAATACAATGCTTTGGTGATTGTACGATTATGACTAAAAATTTAGTATGATGTCACAAGTGTGCTTATACGAGATACAAAGACATTGAGCAAATTATTGCAGTTTCATGAAAAGTATTAAGGTGTGGCAAAGTTGCCAGTGAAGGCAGCAACATACACACTTCTACAACATTTATATCCAGTGTGGGAACAACAATCAGTCTAAGCATACCAGAAGATACTCACACTTGTGCCATGAGCTCTACATTCACAAAGCTACAAGTATGAAATATCTTCCTTCAAACTCATAACTTTACGTACTGTGCTCTGTACTAAACCATATGAATAAAAAATTTCAAGAACTCCAGTATACAAGATGCACGCACAATCAACAACATATGAACTCATGTCGTGCTCTGTGCAATATAGAGCCCCAAAACACTACTGAGTGACAGTCTTAGATTAGTGTGGTTCATTCGTACTCTTGGGCTGCCATCTTAATCAGTGTCAAGTTGCATATTTAGATGAGTCCACCACACAAAACTAATCAAGTGAATAAAGGACAATAAGTAACTTAGATATATACAGTATAATCTTACATTTAACCGCAAATATTTTTTTTTTATACCGGAACGGAGAAAGTACTATTATCCACACGTAGAAAGAGAAAACTTAATCCTTAATGGACGCAGTTTTATCAAGAGTAAGTTTTGTCTTATTAACAAGCATTCTTAAAGCATCAGTACACAAATTATCTAAAGAATTATTTAAACATAGCTCTCCCATGGGATATACAATTTTTTTTTTTTTACTTTTCCTCCACTTGATTGTTGCACTTACATCCTAACAAAATTTCTATTTTCTGACTACACCTGTAAGATCTTTTTAAACAAGTGAATATGTTTTTTCATGTTAATTAAAATTGATCTTTCAAGCTTATCAAAAAAAAAGGAAAAATGGAAACATGTGATGCCACATAAAAGGCACACTGTAAGGCACTTCTAGAAAAAAGTAAATGCTTCACTGAAAATTCTTATACATGTACTGTTCTTATCCTTAAGATTCATAACTGAATTAATTGAACTGTACTGTAAATACAAAATTGTTGGACATATTGATTATACAAATATATTACAAAAAAATAGTAGTTAGATTGCACCACACTGCTCAACTTTAACAGACACCCTGTGAACATTGATCGCTGCAGCTTTCTTAGCAACGTCTAATCCATCCACTACTTTACCAAACACAAGACTGTAGGAAAACTTCTTGAATTCCCTATCCCCACACCATATCATGAACTGAGAGCCGATCATGCCCCGTCCATTGTCGCTAGTACCAATGCCCTTGAATCTTACCATGCCAACCTCATCCTTTAATGGACAGAGATCAGCTTCAAAGGTATTCTTATCAAAAGCTGAATATCCACCAGTACCATCATCATTCTCCACATCTCCACCAGCAAGAAAGCCTTCCCCACTCTTGAAAAAATGGGTACCTTTGTATCCATAGCCACTTCTGCCAGTGCAGAGTGCGACAAAGTTGTCACACATTCTAGGGGCTTTATCCGGACGAAGTTCAAATAGAATGCGACCAGCAATTACTCCATTAATGGATAATACCATCCAGCAATGAGGAAATTTCCCAGGCCTAACTAGTGGTGCAATTGGCTTTGGTACTGGCATTTTGGGGGGATTCTCAGGCGGAGGGGTGGGCTTAGCTGGCCTTTTTGCAGCATCAACATAGGATACTGGAAGTGGTTCTTTCTTATCTGTTAATGACTCTATTTCATCTTTCCCATTTTCAGAGGGTTCAGAGGCAAGTAAAGAAAGATTAGTCAACCCTAAAGAAAGAGCTGAAGACACAGAATTCGGCCCTATACCAGTGGCACCTGCAGACATAACAGACATACCATCATTGGTACTTAACAATGACCCTGCTTCTATTGCTTCGGTCATCTGTAAAATGTGTTCATTTATATTACTCATTTCATGGCTTTTCATTTCATTTAATTTACTTACTTCATAGCTTTTCATTTCATTTAATTTACCAGGAGTTAGACCAAGACCATGCCCAAGGCTCTCCTCAAGGATGTTTGTGGATGCTACTGATGGGGTCATGTTGGCCTGCAGGGGGCTGGAAGCAGAAAGGGGTGGTTGCTGGCTAGGACTAAGTGGACTAACTGGACTAACTGTACTTAACTGCATCATTCTGGTAGATAGTAGGTCTGACAGCATGTAGAGGAGGAGTACATTGGCATTATTCCCAAATAAGGCATGCTCCTCTAATGATGAGGTCATTGCAAAAGCTTCTTCATTTCTAAATCCTATGGTAGTTAGCACTCCATCCAATGCAGACTGTTTCAATTTAATGACGATTGCTTCTGTTGCATTGTTGATAGCTGTTATTGCGGCACACTGATTGAATTGCGTTGAGATTATTGAGCTGTACGAATGAACCTGAAAGAAAAAAGAAAAATGGCAGTCTCATCCTGAAATCCTTTTGAATGACCAATGGCTAAGTTTAATCTTTGGGTTTGGACCCAGGCAGTCTTAGGAAAGTTAGTCTTACCATCTAGCGCTCCATACATGTACATGAATCACAATTAAACTGTTCTAAGCAACAGCCAATTTAGGATTTCATGAGCAATTCTCAGTGTTCCAGATAACTTCTTGTAACCTAGTGGGCTAGGTCATTAGGTCATAAAATGGAACTACAGAATCAATCCTCCATTTTTAATCTAAACACCTTACCAATAGGCAGTCTAAATAAAGTACTGTACTGGTACTATAAATACTGCATTGCTAGTGTGACATGCACCCAACATGGGGAGTGAACTGTATTACTAATAGAGGAATACTGTATATCTACAAGGACACTAATCTTATAAACTCCCTAATTCTGGCAGTACTGTATATTCTCACTGATGTTCATGTTGATAACATATACAGTATGAGCAGATGCCCTGGCCTCTTATTGCTATAAATCTCCTATGAATGCCATGGAGGATGCTATGTGTCCATCTTGACCATTAAGTCTAATGTCATCAGTAATCATGTAAAGCCTATATATGGAAGATAGGAAAGTGGCTGCCCTAAGTACAGTATAAAATGTGCCGTCAAACAGTGGTGCCATCTACTGAGTTTCCAGATGTATATTGTTGTTAGATACTTCAAAATGTAAATTGTTATGTTGTTCGACCATATATTTAGAGGAATAATAAAATATTTTTGTGTCACATGCCAAGAGGGTCTCTTTCCTATCGTTCATATACAGTACAGTGAACCCTCACTTTACGCGGTCAATTGAACCCACGGCGGCCAGCGTAAAGTGAGAAACGCGTAAAGTGAACAACATAACATATGGGATTAATTGAAATAGAGACCGGGCCGACCCCCAAACTCCACTTTTTCAGACACAATACCTACGTTGTAGTAAAAATAACTTCTTAATTTTATGATGGTATGCACACACAATTAATAATTAAGAAAAATATCAATAATATTAGGTTTTTTAACACTTACATTAGTAGAAAAGATGGCTGGGCACACGGGGATGGGGGGTTGGTTCCGAGGCATAGGGCAGATTATTGGCCCTCACCTGTATCACTTGTATCAATTGTATCACTATCCACCACAGAGGCTTGCAGGGCCTCTTTGTCAAACCCCTCAAAGTCCATATAAGTCCATATCCTCACTATCATTATCACTATCACTGACTTGGGCCGGCTGTGGTGGGTGGTGGGTGAAGAACTAGGTAATGTTTTGATGACTGGGCGACCTTGTGCGCACCCTGCTCGCGCCGCTCTCCGCGTAAAAGGGTACACACACCGCAGAAAGTGAGCATTCCGTGTTCGCCAGGGTACCGCGTAAAGCGAGGGTTGACTGTATTGTATAGTTTAGTCTTTGGCTTACAACATTTAATTTCTATGTTATATGACCCTATAATTCTTACTGTTGTATTGTCCCTTTTTTATTTCTTAATTCTCAGTGGGCATTTACAATATACAGTACAGCTACTCCTCGACTTATGATCTACTCGACTTACGACCACCCGGACATACGACCGCCCCAGTCGTACCAAAATGTTTTCAAATTACGGATTTTCGAGTCCCAACTTTAGTGATTGCGCTGTGTACCGACAAAATTTTTGTTTGTAATTCCCTTTAAAATGGCTGGCATGCTTAAAAGTGAGAGTTTTGTGGTGCTGAGAAGAAAAAGAGACACCCATTTTAGACTTTCTATGTATTATCTTAGCATTTTCGACTTACGACCTGGATTTGGGTCCCTAACCCCATCGTAAGTCGAGGAGTGGCTGTTTACTGTACATTATTTACAATACTTATGACTATAAAGGAATAAAATGCTGATACATGAGCATTTTTTTCTGGTTCCTGTTCTAAAAAAATCTTTGTGCAATCAAATAAGAGAAAATTTATTGTAAGTCACCTCAAGTTTTCCATTTTCGTGAAATGATTTCCCTCCAATTCTTGGCATGTGAATGTTCAGTCACTTGCACACTTAAAAATACATTCTTCAACACATTATTATCACAACATTACAACAGTCACTCCCATAAACCACCGTAATCACCCCCCTATCACCTCAATACTCACCCTTCTCACCACAACAATAATTGTTCTACACACCACCACCACCATCAACATGGTTATCCCCAACACCTCAATACACATACATTAAAAAAGTGGTAATAAGACTAGTGAGACAGCAATCGTTGTATCACAAAGATGTACCAGGGACACCCTCTATGAACTGCTTGGTATTCTAGGATCGTACAAGGTATTTACTTTGACAGTACAGTAAAGGGCAAAATAAATGTTGTAATTTAAATCTATTCATTATTTCAAATTATGAACCGACTACAATGACCAGTTACATTAAAACTGAGGAGTTTGATTATTTGCCAAGAATCTGATACTAGGCTCAAAGTAAGTTAATTCTGAAAGATCCACCAAATAAAACAAGGCCACAGCCTCTTCCACAAAACGTGAAGCACTGAGAATCTCCATCCTGACACAAGGGTTAATAGGACAGTAACCTTAATGGCAGCCATCTTAAACTCTTCAACTAACCTTACAGTCTTTTCTTAACATATTAACATACACAGCTATATTTAAATGGTACTCACTTTCTGGAGGGATTCAATTAATTGTGATATTGATGTACTCTCAGAGAGGGCCTCACTGGCCACAGTTAGGTCAGCTAAGTGCTCCTGTAATACTGCTTCTTCCAGCTGCTCTCCTTCGACCTGTCCACAAACACAATACAGGTACAATACTGTAATTCTTTATCATCATTATATACTCATGTTTATTAAAATATAAAATTAATTACAATGTAGTTCTTTGAGACCTGTTCTAAGAATTTATATTTATCAAATATATCACCCAACCCTAATAAATACTGCTACTTTTGCTATGGTGTACTAGTGCTGTATTAAGAAGATTGTTACAGTACACTTATGGTACTGATGGTCCCTGAAATTTTCAGAAAAAATAAAAAATATTTAAATAATAACAATAAAAAATACATTGCCTCACATATTGTATCTGTCACACATCATTTTGTCTTTGTAAAGGGAATTAAAATTTGAACTGGTTCTATAGCTCACCACGTTTATGCCATGTCTTTAAAGAATATGTAAACAAATATTTTCCATATTCACCACCTTGATGGATAATGATGTAAGGCAGGAAACATTCACAAAACAAACTTTTGAGCTTTAGAAAAACTATATGCTTAAATATGCCATCTTACTACAATGGCATTCATCCCACTGGTGAGTGGTCAGTCACTAGCTCAGCTCCCATTGTGTTGCCACATACCACCGTTTGAACAAATCACACTGAAAACAGTAACATAATTTCTTCGGTTGATTCTACGGTAATTCTAGATATTCTAGCATTTCCCAATTTTTGTTGGAAGTGTCCGAATGGACCATATGGAATCAGCATAATCTGACTTAGCAAAGCATACTATTTTTACCCTAAATCGCACTATAGTATTACAGGAATTTAAATTCCCCCCCCCCTCTCCCAAAGTACAGTTGGGCCAGATGAAGTCTAGTTAATCCACATTTTCAGTCTAGTAAAGTCCGGTTTAATGCGAGTCTACTGAATATTACCTTAACTTATGGCAATGAAACATGGACTTCAAATGGGTCAAAATGCTTCAAAATTCCAAGCTCCAGATATGACTGCATCTGTGACACAAGAATGGAAAAGGTAAGAAACAGTGAAATGCATAGTTTATTTGGAGGCAGAAATGGCAGAGGGTGTAAATTATGTAGTGATGGAAGGGATGAAGGTTCATCGAGATGGTTTGAACATATATGAAGGAGGCAGGAAATAGTAAACAGGGCATATGGAATAATGGCAATGCAGTGGATGTGATAGGAAGAGAAACCTGCCTGCAGCATGAAAAGAAACGTTGGAACAATATATGAAGGAAAGCACAGGGAGAGGATTTGGGGAACAGAAAGACATGAAGACTTGTCATCTGTCATGGCCAACCCCCTCTACGAGAGGAGCTTCCTGGAAAAATGAGGCAACAAGCACAAGATAAAGAACGACAATATTAATGGACATATACAACTATAAAACTTTACCTTTCTACGAAGCTCTTCCAAAAATTTCTCTACGCTGAGAACAGTGCGTTCGAGCCGTTCCTTTACAGTGGCTCTCATAGTCATAGTACGTCGCAGCTGCTTAAAGGTTATTTCTTGAGAGCTTTGAAGATGACCACGGAGAATGTCTCGAGCTTGGTCTTCAGGAATTAGCTGGTGATTCTGACTACTGCACAAGTCATTCGCCACAATTTTTGGACAGGTGCAACATACCATGTGTGAGGGGCTGTTGCCTGGCCTGTTGACAAAGAATTTTTTCACATAATAATGGCTATTGGTGTAAACTAAACACGATGACAGTATATAAAATGTTACTGTTATCAGAACAATCAAAACAAAGATGATATATAAATTACAACATGCAAGATAATATACAAATATATTTTTTTTTACTTCTTATTTTAGTTTTTTGTTTGAAAGCTGTTACAGCTATAAAATCAATATATTACTAATTCACCAAGAGACTGTGCCCAAACAATGTAGCCTGAACTAAAGCTAGACCTGCCTCTAGTGCACCATGGAATTTATGACTAAACTCAGGACATCACTAAGCCTGGTCTCACATATCACAAAGGCTAAAATAAGAAGTTACACCTCCCCCATGAACAAACTGATTGTCAAACAGTGAGGATATGTTTATATACCGGGTAATCAGTGCTATACTGGTGAACACAAGATATCAATCACACACACACACACAGAGAAACCCCTGCTCGTTGGAAATGTGTCGACGACTCCACCATTGGGATCAGCGTCAACAATTCAGCTCCCAACTATACCGCCCTTCAGGATTTATTGAACAGTCTCCAAAACTGGGCCACCAACAACCATGTCACCATCAACCATACCAAGACCATGGTTATGCACATCAACCTCTCCTCCGACATTGTCCCACCTCCTTCCATTACTCTAGGTCCGAACACACTCCAGGTTGTAGATTCCACGAAGCTCCTCGGCGTCACCATAGACAACAAACTAAATTGGAAACCACACGTCAGTGAAGTTGTCAAATCCTCCAGTTTCCGTCTCCACCTCCTCCGCCGACTCAAGTCCCTCGGAGTTCCTGCACCGAGCTCCTCAGTGTTTACACAACATTCATACTTCCCAAGCTCACCTATGCCTCCCCCACCTGGTCTTCCTCCTAAATGCCACACAACGTAAACACCTAGAAAAAGTGCAAAAGAGGGCATGCAAGATTATTCTCTCCCCTTCCTACTCCACATATCAAGAAGCGCTCAACACACTGACCCTTTCGACTCTCACTGACCATCACCACGACCTCATCTGCAAATTTGGTAAGCTTCTACCATCCTCGACACCGGCTCCTACTACCACCTGAGATCCCTAGCCCGAGAATTGCTGTTCGACACCACAACCGCATCCAGCCCATACGTGCACGAACTGATCGCTATAAGAACAGCCCAGTCCCAACCATTGTAAAAATTATCAATAACTTGTAATAAACCAGTGTATTCACTCCCAGTACACTACTCCTTGCACTGTCACTATGTTGAAATGAACTGTAGTTTGAGCTTTTCCCCATCTAGTTATTATATATCTTATTTGTATCACTTATGTTACTTGTACATTATTTGTAATTCGAAACCCATTCCCCAAATATGCAACTGTATATTTTCAGCCTTCTGGCTGCCAAGCTCTTTCAATAAACCGTTAATTATTATTATTATTATTATTATTACAGCTTCCTGAATGGGGATTTGAATAAAAAACCAATAGACTTAAAGCCCAATACAATAATTACTCCACCAAGGAAAATGTTACCCAACACATGAAAGATAAGTTTATAAATACCTTTGTGCACCATTTTGTTGGCCATAACTATGAGCGAGGATTGGCAGAGACGGAGATATGTTACTACCGATAAGCTTTTTAATTGGCACAGTGTAATTTGTTGTTAAACCTGAAAAAGAAACCCTTATATATTACATAAGTCAAGTAATCATACACGAAAAAAGAAAAAACATCCATTTCATAAAAAAATTAAGGTTTGAAGAATATTATCTCGCCTAGCAATCAAAGTTTAAAAAAAAAATACATATGATACAGTATATATAGAGAGTGTGTCTCAGAAAAGTTTATACACATTGGGTTACATACCTGGTGGTTTCATTACAATTACATGAATGTTTACATTACAATAGCAACTTTTTTCTCACTTGTTGATGAGCGAGGTCTGGCCAAATCTCAATGTTGTTATGTGGCAGACATCACATTTCAACAAGTGAGGATGATGTTGTAATAGAAGCATTCATGTGATCACCACAAAAATCTAAAAGGCAGTGTATGGGAGGAAGAAGAAGGGAAGACAGAGAAGATGGCTGGATGGGATGAGGGATGCACATGAAGTGAGGGGATGAACATTCAAGAGGCAGCAAGAGGTGTGAGTGTCTACGAGAGTACTGTGGAGGGTAAGGTACCATAGCAGAACACATCTACTACAGCAGAATAAATGAAAGAATAATAGAACAAGAAAGAAAAAGTTGCATGTGTGTGTTTTCTTTTGATTCCAAACCACCTTATATCAAAGCAAAAAGTCTGAAAGTGTAGAGAAAAATTAACCAATTCTTTTGTGAAATATTCAAAAAACCAAAAGTGGCATGAACAATCCTCATGACCTGAACACAGAGTAACTCATTGGGTATACATATGAACCTTGGTTAGTGCAGTAGAAAGGGAACAAATGCCATGCAAAACACTAAGTACTCAATCTCAGGTAATTCATTGGTATAGGGACAGAGTTAACTCACCAGATATACCAGCCTCGGTTAGTGCGGTGGTATAGGGACAACCAACAGGACACTTGACTTCGATATCAAGAGCTATACTCATTAGACAGTCACAGCAGAAGGTATGACCACAGCTGAGAATCTTGGGTTTGTGTTGCCACTCATCGTACGTGGCTCCGCATAAATTACACAACGCTGCTGAGTTTTTCTGTAAGGTAATCAGGGAAGAAGAGGTCAGCTTACTTATCTTACACATTTCTATAATAACAAATATGGTACAACAACTGCTTAAAGGTAAATATCTGCTGCTGTTTTTATTTTATCTTATTGCTTATTATTGTTTTGGCAAATACTTTAGCTTCTCCTTCAAAATCTGAATTACTTTTAACATCTTGTCCACACTTCCTATTACAGTAAATGCTCTCTAACCTGGTCTTCCTTAATCCGGATCCCCTTGCAAATCGGACTAGGGCCCGGTACCGGACACATATACTGTATCCTCAACCCGGAAAAACTCAAGCAAAATCCGATTAGTACGGAGGAAAGTTTGTTTAAGTGGGAACTGCCACAGTGGTGGAGATGGTTGCTGAAGAGCACTAAAGTGAAGCGTTAAAGATATATAAACAGTGTACAGTATATACAGTAAATGAAATAAACAGTGAAAACACAACCTTCGCTTCTACTGAACCTTTGGCGGCACACACTGTGAATGTCACACAATCACCTCCTGCCTCAACAGTTAATAATTAATAAGTACCGGACAGTACTTTATTATTAACATGTACTATGTGCTTCTATTTTTCATTAACAGACATATTATAGAGCAATAATAATGCATACCATATGAAATATCTACTTTGTACAATTCTCTTATAACTCCCATTATAATAGACTCTGGCCACGAGCAAAAATATTTACTGCTAGGGAAAACGTGTATCAACTTTTATCCACAGCATCTGTTATAATTGTGTTCGAAAGATGAATTTTGTACTATAATGATAGTGAATAAATTCCCTACAAGACTGTTTCAGTAAAGGATCCTTAAACAAAATATTTTGACACATATAGTAATGGAAACTGTACTCTTTTATGAAAAAAAAAAATGAAAAAAATATTTATACCAGTCTATAAAATTATTTCTAATTAAGTTAAAAACACCATTTTTATACCAAAATAATCCTGAATGGTATATATATATATATATATATATATATATATATATATATATATATATATATATATATATATATATATATATATATATATATATATATATATATATATATATATATATATATATATATATGACACAGGCCATCAAATAATGGAATTTTGGGAGTAGAAAGGCTTGTCTTGAATGGAACTGAGTGTGACAGTCGAAGCAATACACACACTGGTATCAGGCATAAGACAGCTCCAGGCAACACCAGTCACTCGGTGACTTACCAAGTAAATTTGTACTGAGAGCAAGCGCCACGTTGCTGAAAGCGTATGAGAGACCGAAGAAAAATCTACTTTTTTCCTCAGATGTTAAAACCCTTAGTGGCAAAAAAAAAAAAAAAAAAAAAATTACATGACATATAAAAAATGAGCGAGTGTTAAGTCTACGCTAAAAATTACAGTACGTTCAGTGTTCTTAGGTAGCATGAGTTGGAATCCCCCACCCTCTGGAATTTTCCACCTTGCAATATAAATAATACAGACCCTCGCCCAACCTGGGATTTCAGCCAAACCGGACAGGCCTTCCCCCCATTAGCCCAGATCAGAGGAAGCTTACTGTACCTTTAGCATTTCTTCCACAATTCAAATCACTTTCAGTATCCCTTCCATACTTGTTAAAACTCCTAGCCATACTATTGCATATCAAAATACGTACTGGTAATTCAAACACAATAACACCAGAGCCATTTACCTGCATCCTCTCATTATTGGATTCTTGTATTGGGTTAGAATTAGCATCAACTGCCTGCATTTTTGCCAGAGGAGACTGTCTTTCTTTAATGGTCTCATACGTTTTCATGGGCTGGAAATCGGGCATAGGCGAAGCTCGTGACATTGGCGGTGGGGTTTGACCTATTGGAGATGGCTGACTACTGCTCACCGAAGTGGGAAAGGGAGGCGGATACGAAAATAAGCCAGAGGGAGTCGGTAGGTTCGGTGAGGTTTCGGGTTGTTGTTTGAACGAAGGGAAATGTTCTGGCCGATGGTGTCGTTCTCGTGATTCCAGTGCTTTTGATTTAGACTGGAAGGAGAAGTACAGAATTAGATTAAAATTTTGATTCAAACTAAACATATAAATGTCAGGTTGAAGTTTTGATGCAATGACAAATGGTGAAAGCTAAATAATTGGCAAATAGTCTGGCAAAGTTTGAAACAAACAAAGCCCTGCCTGTAAAAAATGACAAAAGCAACATTAAGCAAAACTCATGATTCTTCCATAAAAGTTCTTAAGATTAATTTGACTATACTGTAGTGTATGCTTCTGATACTGTACAATCCATTACTTTTGTACGGCAAGAGAAATTCTTATATGTTTCTTAAAATAAAAGCTAAACATTTAATACCAAATTAGGTACAATTTTGTTTAAACAAATAACAGTGAGATCAAACAACTTACTGTGCTAAAGTCGTTAAAATCATCTAGTGTAGTTATCCCTTTCCCTATTATATTCTGCTTGAAGACAGGAGCTGCTTTCTTAGCATTGATTGAAGCTTCTACAGCCATCGCTGGAAGTAAAAGGATGATCATAAGATAAATTATTAATAAAAAAAACAAAAAAAGAATAAAAGTACAGTGTAACGCAAAACTTAAGATTAGTTTTATATATACCTGTACTGTAGTACCTTTGACTTTGTGTTTCTCTCTTTAAGTTAGTTCTCCTTAGCAAATTCTTCTCTGGATCACTATTTTTAAGCTCAAATATGCAACTACAATTCATTTACATATTTGTGTCATTTGACCTTTTTCTTCATTCAGGTCAAGGCAACATAGGTAGAATATTCCTAAAATATTTTGGTTACTGACCATCTCCCTACCTCTGAGTACTTACAACAGAACATTGTTCTTTAAACATACACATAGATCTTACCTGTTGGTCTAGTTTAACATATAATTTCACCAGCTGCTGATCTCCCCATTACTCTATAAAATATGTGGGATTGAACCTGAAATCCCATTAGATAATCGAGGCTAGGTAGAATGACTAAGGAATATGACCACCAAAGCCTTGGGGCTTAATACCTGGGAAGCCTCGTCTTAACGGCAGGTGGGGCAATAATTAAAAGATTACGCTTTTCCTTCTCCTGCTACTCTAGCTGTTAAGAAGGGGTAAGATAGAAATTACAGTTATGAGAGCTAACAGGTCAGATGTCACATAAACAACATGAGTAATCTGTTCAATTCCAGATAAGAAACAACTGTGATCACATGACCAACCCCACTTCCAACCAACCCTAACAATGGCTCAATTGTGAATGCTCAATTGTAAACAGAAATTTCAGGATCAATTCTACATTCATAACCAAAGTCCTAAAGAACAATTCATGAATACCATAACCAGAAAAGATAAATGGAGGAAGTAGTACAAATCGCTTCAAGTGCTGTGCAACTACATACTGGTACCGCCTAGAAAACACTTCATACTAACCTGACATAGAGGAATGGAACATCTCTCTAGCATATGCAGTTTCCCAAAGTTGCCCAAGCCTTCTAAAGATGAAACAAGAGCTCAAACATCCCACAGCCCCAGAATGAAAGATCCATAGCTACTTCAACAAAAAAATCAACCTTGCAAGGTTCAGAAACAACTGAATAACAGTGTCAGTTGCTAAAACAATACCAGCCTGATTATCCAGGAAATTCCACTTCCAAAACATAATCTTCACCAAAATAAAATTTGAAAAACCTGGATTCTTTACATGTGTAGTTTATGAAACTGTGGGCAAAGACAGGAAACAACATCGCTATGCACCTTCTGACTTAGAGAAGAAGGAATCTGAGTAGGAGTTGGACATAGCTGAAGGAGGAGAAAAATTTTTCGTTTTATCTTGACAGAGTAGGATTACAAGTCCCACACACACCTATTCACCACTGAAGTTCAAACTGGGTCAAATCAGATAAACTTGCCCTCTTTCCCTTGAGAAAATCCCATGACTAGGCACTCAGCCATCACTATGGTCTTCAAAAATGCCAAAATACTAAAGTCCTTCACTACTCCCAGTTGGGGTCAATGTATCCATGACAGTAACCAAGTGACTGGGACTGAAGGCAAGAGTGTTGCTGTTAGTCCCTGGTTATGACTTGAAAGCTTTCTGCTTTAAACAGTGACAACTAGTTATAAAATCCCTCTCATGAGTCACTCAGTAAAGTCATTAGGTTATAAAATTTTAGTTGTAATGAAGTTTTTGAAGAGGAAAAACATCATAATAAGCAATTTAACCACAATACAAGTTTGCAGAATCAAAACAGAATTAAATATAAAGAACAGTCTCTATTTATTTACCTATTTTCTTTACTCCTCTCCTACTTTTGTATGGGGTGGTTTAAGGGATATAAAAAAGTAAATATTCATTATTTCATAACTTTGCAAAATGCATCATATATGCATGCACAAATGTGAGTGTGCACACATACGTATATACACACAAAAAACGGAAAGGTATGAATAAAAATTTCAAATTTTTATGCATACATTATACAGTATTTATAACTAGTCAAGAGTTCCTAAATTCTATATATTTTCAGAATGATTAGTTATCCCTGTTTTTATAAACAATTATTAACATGATTTTGGGATGACATAATGTATAAAATTGGGGCAAAAAAAATGATTCATGAAAGCAAATTCACCTATACAGCAATGAAATTTGATAAGGGGCCATTTTATACCACGCACAACACAGTCTGTTTAAAGCCGTTTCATACTTTGTTTACACAGTACTGTACCTTATACAGAGATTACCACCGTCTCTGGTAAATCAAAATATGCAGTACTACAATCTTAGAGCTTTGTTACTTTATGATTACAGAAGCCACTATAATGTCTGGAACATAATGAACTTTAGCCAAGAAGATGACCATAAAATTGAGGTGGTGAAGGCCAGGTGGTGAGGGCAGGAACAGCCAGGGTGAAGTTTAGTCTACTTACAAATATTGATGACACTCAATGCATTTACAAATTGTCAGTAATTAAAAACAAATGGACTTATATTAATTATAAATCTCATTTGTTATTCACTGTATCAAGTACCATAGCTGGTTGTATGCAATGTAAATAATTGTAAAGGTAATAAGGATGGAGGGGGAGGAGAGAGCCAGACAGCTAGTACTGTAATCACTTGGTAGTACGGTACATGACAATATTTCCCCACATTTTCTGCAGTAATATCTGACGGGAATGTTTCGTTCATTTTTCTGAGTAATTCTATCACATTTCAGGGCCATGATGTATGCAAGAACAATGATAAGACTCCAAACATTGCAAAGTTGGTTTATAAAGTTAATTTCCTGAATGATTTAGTAGGAGAGGTTAATTTGCTCAGAAAAAAAATTATACAGTATATCTGTTTTGTTCAAATAATTTCATTTCAGACATTCCATGTATTTTGGTAATTGCAGAAAATCATGTCTCTACAATCAGGTTGCACTAACTTAGAAAATGTGTAACAATTAAAGAAGTTCAACACACATAGCACTCCCATACAGAATAAAACAAGTGTTAGGTTAGATTAGCAAAGTACTAATAGATAAAATGTATTCCAATATAAGGTCATATGGCATGTGTGCATAGCTTTATGTACGCTTACCTTTTCCATGAAGAAAGTAGCCCCGAAGTTCACATATTGCCTTCCATCCATCCTCCTCATAAGCCATGTGCTGCAGGGAAATACAGAAACATGCACACTCAAAAAGTCTATCAAACTCAGATAACTCAGCAATTTGCAAGTACTGTAAGTTTTATCTTCATGTGACAGACTACCTTCTTGCCAAGATGAACATGAAATGGTGAGTTTCATGATTTAATGACTGCTGTAATGATAAAAGTGTTAAAAACCTTTTTTGTTTATTTAAATTTGATGCACTTCATATCCAAATTTGAAAATATCTATTGATTAACACTGTGGTCTCAACACCCTGCAGAAAGTACTGTAACTCTCAAAATCTGAAGTTAACCAGGTTAGCCCCAAGACATCAGAAATCAGGAGTAATTCAGGAGTTATTTACGCTTCCCTATCACAACCAGGTCAATAAATGGGGTCTTTCGGAACAACACTCAACATTAAATATGTATAGGAAGCAACAAACTGTGAGAGCCACATCGGCATTCATTGCTTCATATACTAACAGGTCAATTTTGTTTCTACAGATCCTCTTTAATTAAAGACTTGGTTGTGACGGAGAAACACCACTAAATCATGAATTACTCTTAGTCTCTGATATCTAGGAGTTAACCAAGGTTTACAACCCAAAATTCTGGGACATAATGCATGAGTCACTTAGTGCAGCATTGGTTAAAAAAATTACTCTGATAATGTGTCAATTACATGAGCAAATTATATTATACATTGGGTATTGTAGATCATGGTTTACTAAAATGGCTGCAAACCTACAATGGCAATAATAATATATTCTTTATCACATAAGTTTAAAATTACAATATCAGCATAAATACTAACATCAAGCATACAGTTGTCACATACATTAATACTATCCAATTTATGTAAGCACTGAAGACATTATGAAAATACACATGCTGGTACAGTATATAACCGATTAAATGCTGTACAATGATATCAAATGCATGCACCAACTGTAATTAATTAGTTAATACTTAGTACCCAATATGTACAAGGAATAAAGCATTAAACACTGACTAGGTCATGCATAAATTCAACCAGGGAATACTCACCACAAACCCATAGAATTTGCCAACCATGACCACAGCCTCAATAACTGGCCCATATTGTGAAAAGAGATAGTATAAATCATCTTTTGTTGCTGCCCCAGCGAGATTACCACAAAATATCTTGAACGTCTTGTGCACTTCACCCCCAGGCATTCTGCAAAACACCAGTGCAATCTATTAGCCAAAAAAAAAAAAAAAATTATAACATACCTGAATAATAAAACATATCCCTCATGGCCCATAAAAAGATAAGAGTATTGTATATAGGCATTACACCATTGTACAATGTCCAAATAGTGTTTACCAACTTGTCATGGAGATGATGAAAACATTGAATATTATGCCTGACAAAGAAGCTGAAACTAGTCACGGAATTATGCAACCTTTACTACCCAAGAGAAAACACATATCAATACAGTAAGTCATTTTATACAAGTAAGCCTTAGCTGATTGATATATATATATATATATATATATATATATATATATATATATATATATATATATATATATATATATATATATATATTAATAAAAAAGTAAAAATAAAATAGGTTTGATAAAAGACAGTGATAAGAAACACTGAACACAGTGGAATTCTTGTGAGCTCTAATTATTTAACCTGCATACTCACAGAATGTACTGTACACAGATTAGAAAGAGAGAGAGAGAGAGAATTTAGTGTATACTCGAACATTTATGAACATTCTTTAGCAAACATTTGAAAATACAGTTGATGGGTTGTAGAAAATGAAAGAGGTGTACAGTAAGTGATAAGCACCAGAACATTTGGGGGGAAATACTGCATGCATCACTCTGCTCTCAAAATCTAAGAAAGTGGATAGAAGCTGCAGGAGAAAGGCACAACAGCAAATGTGTTAAATTAAAAGACACACAGCATGCTACTGCCCTAATGTACTTGTACAATAAGGAAATATGCCGAGGGCGAAGGAACAGCCTGTCAGAAGATAATTCTTTTTGTAGTTCATTTGCTTTGACCAATGTTGTTATCCTGCTATTATTAATATACAGTAGTCTGGCACTGAATTGCATAACCTAATCATCAATGACATTTTTTTCTTTTCCTATCTTGTACAGTATGCTACACAATACTGTACCCACATGTTTATTCTTTTAAAAGACATTAAACATAACAAAGCACTCCTCCATATATTAAGGTCTACATCAATCTTTGTAAGTGTCTCTTATGGTTTATGGTTAACAAAACCCATGAACCCCCATCATGTTATGTGCTGGTCATCAAATTTTCTGAGTCTCAAACACCCCACCTGACCTGGTCACTGCTTTAGTTCACTGGCTAAGAAGCAGTAAAGTACTGTACAGTACAGTAGTGTATATATTTTACATCCTGTTCCATCTTCATAATGGTGGAGACAGAACCCTTTAGCCTTAGGTCAATCAAATTGTGTTTTAAAAGCCACTTGTTGCCATACCTGTGAACTGTGCTGTACTGTATGTAATTTATTTCTTTGAGTGTTTGGTAAGGGACCGAATAATATTCATGCTATATAATTACTGTACTGATAAAAGAAGATCACATACCCATTGAGTTTTGGCAAAAGCAATTTATTTATAAATGAGTGAATAATGTACAGGCAGTGAAATAGATTTAGAAGACCAAAATAAGGCACAGATACTTTCATCTTGATACTGTATTGTACTGAGGAGAAAGGAAGTGCACAACCTTTACTATCATTTCTTGGTTACTTGCTTTTCTGCTAAAAAATTATATTCATGCCAACCGAAGATATAAAGTGGTCCCTCGGTTAACGAGCGCCTCGGTTAACGAGATTTCGGTTAACGAGTTACCTTCCATTAGATTCTTACTTTGGTTAACGAACAATCCCTCGATTAACGAGTTTCTTAAGAGCCGACCTCAACATGTTTTCGCTTGCATTTGGCGGTCCACCAGCTGTAGTATTAGTTCGCCAATACAGTAATCGGTTCTAGGGCTTATATTCCTTACCATTTTATTAAATATCAAGAAGTTTATACTATTCAATTTTAAAAGTTTAATATTAAATTTTTTAGTCATTTTAACAATTATTGAACATAATTGAAGGTAAGGAAACTAGTTTTATGCACGCCATCCAGCCTGTCAACACACCAAACAGGCGCGCACTCTGTCTTTTCAGTGGAGGTAACATCTTGCTTGAGACTCTCTTCAACTAAATGCTTTTTTTCTGTGTTTGCAAGCAAATTATTTGTCATTTTGAAATTTATTTTACATATTTACAATATATAATGCAGTGCAGTGTTGATTTAAAGAAAATTATCTTGAATAACACCAAGAGAACTAAAATTTTATGGGTGAAATGGCACCATGGGGTGACTTCTCTTCCACCCCAATGCCTTCTCTTCTCCCTTCTCCTCCACCCCCATTCTAATTCCCATCATCATCATCATCATCATCATCATCCAGGAGCCTTCTACATACACACCTCAAAGTAAGTGTACTTTTCTACCTTTTTTGTTGAATTTAGGCAATTTTTGGTGAGCTGGAACCAATTACCCAAAAACCCATTGAAACAATGGTTTCGGTTAACGAGTTTTCGGTTAACGAGCAACCTTCTAGAACGGATTGGGCCCGTTAACCGAGGGACCACTGTATATGGCTGAAGAATACACAAGTTATGAATTCAGATCCAAATATTGTAGGTATATAATACTGAATTGCTTATAACAGAATATAAATAAAGTAACAAGACAAAAATTTACCACTGTTTTCCTCATTATAATCAGCAATTGTGAATATTTTTTTAATATTTACTCTCATTATGCATCCTTCTAAAATCATGTGATATACTGTACTGTATTTGTAGTTTAAAACAAACCTTAACCACAAAAATTATACAAATTATTGTGCTGTGAAAAACTATATTTTGAATGTGGCAATTTAGGAAAACCTCAGGGTAGTTCCTGGGTTGAGAGCCAACAGCTCGCTCTTTAACAATTACAGTAAAACGGTAGAGCTCTTCATCTATCTACATTCAATTAGAGGTCTCTCTCTGTCAACCAATTTAATTTAAGAAACTTCAAACACTACATTATACTCATCCTCCAGTCCCATAAAATATCTCGATCTCTCCTACCACATTAGGTTTGGTCTTCCTCTTCCTCTCCTCATTTAATTTACTTACATGCATTCTACAAATCATTTTCTCATTCCCATTTTATATGCACACCCAAACTACAAAATCAATAATGCCTTAACAATTGTGAGATATAAAAGTCAAATAAACATCAACCCCATATGTTGCTCATCCTATCCATACAAGCTGAATAAATTTAACCCTTTCACAGCGGGAGGTTACCGAGCTGAACAAAATGGCCTGGCGGTAGCCAGAATAAAATGGCAAGTGCGAGCCACGCGGTGAAAGGGTTAATGAACTTCTTAGTACAGGTACATGGTACACATAACTGATGCCTCATTCCCTCAGGAGCTTCTACTTACCATCTATTATTTAACAAACTTCTTTCCTCCAATACTTTGCATAAGCCTTCATCTAACATAACGAAGTACTATATATTTCACTATTTTCAAAATTCAGCATCCACAAGCAATAGACTGGTCCTATCTTTTACTTCACAGTAAAGATAAGACATAAGTCAGTATGCCTATCACCCTGTGAAGAGCAGAGAAGGTTTCATGTTTTGTTTTCAAACAATGATGATTATATGAGAAAGTTAACCAGACTTCTTCAGGGATAAAGTGACAAAATATTGCAAGTGTTTCAACAAACAACCAAAGCTCTAAAATACAGTGAAGTGTTATATATAAAATAAATTAATAAATATATTAAGGTGCCATACATTTTAGTTTCAGTACTGCACTGACCAAAAAAATCTATGAATCAAACTGTCACCAACACCACTACCTTAATCACTGTAGGAAATTTTCTGATCCCAAGTGAGCTTGAACTGTAAGACAGATGAACATGGAACACCCATCCAGGTTGGATTTAATAGCTTTTACAGTAATTTATTCACTGAAACACCAAGAAAGTATTATTAATATATTACAACCTCCACGTAAACTAAATGTCTTTTAAAGTGATAATTACAGTTTGTTTCGAAATGACAAAAAAATTTAAATAACAAATCACATTATGATAAAAATGAAGGGTCAAGGTTATGTGGACTACCCAGTAAGCATACTGTTGTAAGGCACAGTAACAAACATTAATCAAAACACTAGCCACACTTACATCAACACCAAGATACTGCACAGTTTCTCTTGTGACAGTGTGTACCATATACAGTACAGTACAGTATCTGCATTGACTTAAGGGCAGTAAACCCAGACTTCAAGTACCATATTGTACAGTCAACCTAAAATTTCTACAGGGATTATGTACATTACTAGTGAATATCATGGATTTTAAGCTTCCACATTATATGGCTATTATGTGTATAGCTATGTTTAAGGCCAAGGCTAATTGTACAGATCCGTACAGCTATTTCCCCAGGCTAACCATACGGGCATAGGGATCATTGGGGTTGTGACTGCCAAGAACTGAATGATTCTCAAGAAGCCTAACCTAACTTGAGCAAGATTAACCATGGTGCATGTTTAAAACCTACAACCACATTCTTTATGTAAAAAAATAACTGGCAATATAGTACAAGCTTTATAGTATGTAGTTATGAATTTCTTTACTGGATTAACTTTCCTTTACAAAAAAATCACTGTACAGTATTCCACCAAAATTTTCATGTCAATGTACAAATTTAGTGGAGAGGTACCACAAAATTAATGTTTTTTGACCATTTGATTATAAAAATTGAGGTAAATATTAAGTAGTTACCATGCATGGAAATTTCTATGTAAAATAGGTTTTTATAGTGTCTTTCATTGTGTTTCATATAAATCTCACATTCATTTTTGTCGGAAATGAGTATTTATGGAGAAATAACACCCCCCAATTACCAATATTGTGGGGTAAAAACATGCAAAAAGAACTCTCAAATATCAGTATACAGTACATGTTTAACTTAACCTAAGCAGAGAAATCAAAGCCAGTTCATGCCCAGTACAGATCACCATCACCTCTTCTTTGATTCAGTAAAATACTGTTTATTGACTGAGATACTGTATGACTGACTGTAGCATAAATGAAGTACATACTAAATAAAAAACTCAGCTTTAGCAATACAGTAGTAATTAGTGGCTTATTCCAGGTAAAGTCAGACACAATTCATTGATGTTTTTATTAATTTATCGATGTACTTGAAGGCATGAAAGCCACAATCTAGTTGATGATTTCTTAGTAATTTCACAATTGCTTCTTTTGCAGCTCCAACACAGGATTCACCAACTTCAATTAAAATATTCTCCCTTAAAACTAACAGTTCACTGGTGCCTCTATAGTAGAGTACTGTAAAAAATAAATATTATTATTCTAACTAACAGAAATATCACATACTGTACCCATAGTAACCGAATCAGAAAAAAAATGTGGCGTTGTTACTATGATGAATGAGTCCATTATTTTCTGTAATGGGTGAAGGGTGTGGGGGTATTGTAATGGGTGTTAGGCCTGTACACATAACCCCTTAAGTTGTGTCAGCCTGTAGCCCTGACAGTGTAGGCCACCAGCACTTATGTCTACACACCACCATCATGCGCTCCATTTGCACACCTCAATGTGTCATACAACCCATAACCATTTTTGTCTGTGTGAAAAATAATCAGCCACAGTAAATCACGTATGAACTGAAAGGCTCAGTCACAGCTATTTTGCTGAGCCATTATCACACACCACGACACTGGCATCAACCTTCACTACAACTTTGCCACAATACTTGACACTAACTCACCTTATTTCTCTAATAAAGAACTAATTTTATTATTATACATGAGCATCATCACACCAAACTCACTCCCACAGCCAGAGGACAGAGGTCTGGTGCTAAAACCCGAGATTTATCCCAAACTTTGAGACCTGTTGACAGATTTGAGCAACCCCAAGTTTTCCCCGCTGACTGCTACTCCTCCTCCCTCACACCTCCACCACTAACTATGTTCTACTGGACACAACACTGACTTACTTTCGTCCCTTGCCGGAATAAACTGTGTAATCCATTTATCCATTCAATTGTAAATTCAAAAAAATAGTAAATGGGTAGTCAGGATCTCGTCCTTCCTAACATTTCCACAATCAGTACCAGCGACATCGTTAGGAAACGATCCCTAATGTAAAGTTTTGGTGTTCCTCATATAATTACGAGTAGTAAGATAAATTATACTGGCCAGACAGCAATCATATATTTATCTTGATACACTTTTAACAATAAAGTACCTAATTTCTTTTCAAATTAAGCATAATATAATTTTCCATTTTATACTTGAGACGTTTAACTTGAGTAAAAGATTCGCGGGAACAAACACGACAATGTTTTAAGAAAAACTAAAACATTTTATTATTTTCATATATCTGAATTTAATCATATAAATGCTTATATTCAATTCCATTTACTCAAAAACTAATTTATAATTTTTTTTCATATTAAATTTACTGCAATCAACATTTGGCAATCCCTCTGGTCATAACAATAAAGGAAAAGCCAACCATGGGGTAAGAACAACCATATTTAAGAGTTTCAGTATACACTCCTTTGCTACTTAGACTTACGAGAATACATCTACACCAATGATATTTCCTATATTGGTGGTATTACGTGATTATAATTATTGAGAAATACCGCCACTGGGAACTGTATCGGCGTACCCAAACAGACGAGTATGAACGATGACGACAGCCCCGACTGAACCCCAATTTGGGGTTCAGGAAATAATAATTTTTTTTAAAGTAACGAAACATGACATTTCTAATACATTGTAGTAGTTAAATTGGTTAGGACACTTTTTAATTAATTATCCTCGAGGGGCATAATTAATATTTTAATGCCTGACTGAGAGGATATAAAACACTGGTAGTAAACTCCATCAATGGTTCCTAAGTTTTTAACACAAAATCTCAAGTAAAAAGTGCTGTTAGAAGCTTGACCATCAGGTGGTAGAAGGTGAAAAGAAGTAATATAATTTGCAATAAAACTTCCTCAACGAGCATTACTCAGATTTCTCGTTCGTTTTATCGTATTGTATGACGCTTAGAGCGTTTGAGAACTTTTTTGCCGACTGTACCAAAAAAGAATGACGATGGCAGGCCCGAAATGGATGACTATGACAGGCCCAAAATGGATGACGATGGCAGGCCCGAAATGGATGACTATGACAGGCCCAAAATGGATGACGATGGCAGGCCCGAAATGCATGACTATGACAGGCCCAAAATGGATGACGATGGCAGTTCCAAAAAGGCGGACAACGGCTTGATGTTCGTTTATGGGTAAATGATTACACGCATAATATAAACATAAAATTTATTGTGCAAATAGCAGAGCACCAAATCAACTTTTTTCCCCTTTATGACTAGGATAATATCTTCAATTGTTCGCATAACGCAAACTGTAGGATGCCTCGCCAGGGTTATAGCTATGGTCATAATGGTATTCATATAATTATGTACTCTCAAGCCAGTCTCGCGGGAGTTTACCTGTGCATAGGGTGAACTGAATGCGTATAAGGATGGGTGACTGACCAAGTCTAACAGCTCGGACGGAAAAGAGTGTCTGGTGAGTAGTGATAACTTCTATTTTATAGTTTCTTTTGTTTAATGGCTTTATTTCGATTACTTTATTGTTATGCTCACATAACCAGTGTGAGGGTAAAGATGAAGGCTAACCCAACAGAGACACGACAGTATCTTTTACTTTTTACTTCTATCCTCTTCGCCACTGATCGGCTCGTTAGCCGCTTAGGTGATCGGTCACATCTCTGTTACGCACTGTTGGCAAGTACTGGGCATACACCGGCTCCTGAATGTATCTGAACCTGCTCCAGTGTTGGTCAAGTCTGGTCTTGGAAGAGCTCACACTCGGTGTCATTGTAGTGGATTCCTCCCCTACAAACGCTGTTTGTCGCTGACGAGCCAACCCACGAATCCAGCCGCACCTCGTGTCTAGGTCAACCAGCGCCGCCTTACACGACTGAGGTCAACTATTAAGCCACGCCTACCCCCGCTATATAAGACCTGACCTCGTGGTGACCTACCCCTTTTCTACTCACAGCCACCAGCAAGCAACACCTCCTCCTCCTGCCTGGCGGTCCTCGCTTCCGCCGGCGACCATGGCGACCCACAAGCTGGTCCTCCTCTGAGCACCCTCAGCAACCAGCTCTCTCTACTCAAAGCTTGTAACCACGCTGCCTTCCCAGCACCAAGCTGCATTGTACATCCAATACAACATGTATACAGAGAGCACATTGTGAGTTTCCTTTCTCCATCCCATCCTGAGTGTGAACCAATTATCACATAACCCCACACCATCACAACACTTTCTGGCAGATTGCTCCAAGGGTTCACAACTCTCACTCCGAAAAAGTTACCCTTCACAGTTTTCTGGACCTGCGGCTTCTTCAACCTTGAGCTGTGACCCCTTGTGGGGTGAGCGTCCGCCAGCTCCAGATAAGGACACTCGACTTAGAAGTGCCCCTTGAGATGCTTATATACCTCAATTAGGTAGCCCCTTGCCCGTTCGTAGTATAAGCTAGGCAAGTTCAGGCGCTCCAATCTCTCAGGGTATATAGTTGAGGCGTCGGAGTACAGGCACCAGTCTGGTGGCCCTCCTTTGAAAATTTTCAATCTACTGACAGGCCCAATTCAGTTTATCTCGGGGACCAGACGGGGTGATAGTACTCCAGATGGGGAGGCACTTCACTCTTGAAGATCGACCTTCTTATAAGACCTAATAATTTTTATTTGCCTGATTTACATTCTTCTCGCAATGGCCCGAGAACTGTAGCTCATTGTCAACATACAGGTATATACACCTAGGTCCTTCTCACGCTCAGTCTCAAATAGTGCAGTTTCACCATCCCGTTGGGACATATGATACGCCTCCTTACCGTTGGTACGTCCCAGGTGCATCCTCTTGCATTTCGTGACATTGAATCTCAGCAGCCATTTCTTCGACCATTCTTGGAGCTCACAGAGATCCTTCCGCGGCTCTTCACAGTCCGCATGGTTCTTGATTTCCCGAAATAACTTGGCGTCATCCGCAAACATTTGCATGGAGCAGTGTACAACGTCAGGCATGTCATTTATGAACCAAACAAACAACAGCGGGCCCAATACACTGCCCTGTGGTACCCCGCTTGTGACAAGTACAGATGGTGATTTTGTGCCATTAACCACCAGACACTGCTTGCGGTCATGTAGAAAGTCTTTTATCCACGCTAGGACATTTCCCCGAATTCCGTACCCTTCCAGTTTGATTTTCAGCCTTTCATGGGATACACTGTCGAAAGCCTTGGCAAAATCTAGGTATATATTGTCAATATTATCACCCTGTTCCAGAATACGGGTCCAAATATCCAATACCGTGAGCAATTGTGTTAAGCAGGAGCGCCCTGGCATAAAACCGTGTTGTCAATCCTTTAAAGGGTTGTTTCGTAGTAGATGTTCCATCATGGCATCTCTGATAATGCTTTCAAGTACTTTACAGACTATGCTGGTCAGGTTCACCGGTCTATCGTTGTTCGTGGAGTGACGATCGCCCTTCTTGAAGATAGGACTCACATAAGCCAGTTTCCAATCACTGGGGACTTTTTGTTCATCCAGGCATTTACAAAACAGGACCTTCAGGGGCTCGGCAAGCCCGTTGCACAACTCTCTTAGCACTCTCCATGGGATGCACCATGTCAGGGCCGGGACTCTATTGGACCTTTAGCTTTGACAGTTTATTTCTTTTACTCTCTTCTGTGAACACAATGTGGGTCAGTGCTGTGTCGAATCGTCTGTCCTCAAACGCAGGAAGGTTAATCGCATCCTCTCTTGTGAACACCGAGGAAAAGAAGCTGTTCAATGCCTCAACTTTGTCCTAGTCAGAATCTGCGTAACTACCACCATCAAACCTCAGGTCTGATACTCCTACTCGCGTTTTTAATTTCGACTTTGCAAAGCGGTAAAACGCCTTTGGGTTTGACTTGGCCTCACTTGCAACCAGCCTCTGGAACTCCTTTTCAGTCCTTCTACACCTTATCTTTGCTTGGTTTCTGGCCCTTGCATACATCCTCCTATCCTGCTCATCGTTCGACCCAACCCACGTCTTGAATTTCTGGGTTTTCTTCTTAACTCTGTCGACCGCCTCATGGTTTATGTGTAAGGATCCCCTCGTATTCCTAGAGGCACTGGGTTTGGTCTTGGGTATATATTTATCGATCAAATGGGTCACTTTACTAGTTATGATATTCAGCATAGTGTCTGCGTTCTTGTGCGTTAGTGAGTCAGGCCAGTGGATACCCTTCATCTCCTCCCTCATCCCGTCGTAATTTCCCTTGTAATATTTGCACCTTGGCCTGGCTTTATCATGAACTAGGTCACGTCACGTCACGTCACTGTTTGCAAATATTGGGCATGTACGAGCATGTATTGGCTCCAGCGAAATAATTGCGCTGTAAATTCCACAGTTAGTTTGGCACACCTGTCTAGCTTAAAAGCACCACGCGAAGAATTTTTGTTAACGCACACGTGAATTTTATTAATATTTTTGCCGTTTTCATAGAGTACAGTCCTAAAAAGTGAATTAGAGAAAAGTATTGTGTATCATTCATGTTGCACCCAAGTACAAGATCAATGGATTTTTCAATGATAAATACTTTTACGGTGTACAGTATAATATGGTATACGTACTTGCATTGCCGATGATGCATTAAGTTGAGATAAAAAGAAAATAGTGTTGAAGATTTAGAGAGAAAATATAAATAAAGTGGTAAGGTTGAAAGAATGTTGGTAATGCATGATGTTTTCCTCGGTTTTATTTATGTTACTTCTGTTTTGTGTTACTCGGTCTTTCTGCACATCAACTCTTTATTGTAATGGGTTTTGATAGCTCTTTTTGTGTAACCTTGGCATATGTATGTATGGCTATGTAAACTACACAGAACTGTTAGCAGTACGAAAGAAATAATTAATCAAGATGGGGAAAGAGGAGCGCTGTCTAAATACTGTTCTTGTGACTCGAGAATCAGCCATCAGCGCCATTAGATTTCTTGCTCGCTGATTGGTCTACTTGTGTCGGGCAGTCAAACCAATC